GGACGTGGTTCACGCGGGTAGGGAACGTGTCGTAGACTTTAAAGGGTGCGATTGTAGGACACGGGCACGGATTCGGGAACTGCATTCAGTGGACGTTACCGATCACTTAATAACGTAGAGCAAACGTACATCGATCTACAGAGAGGACACACATTCGTGGAAAGTCTGGGAGTTGGTATGGCGGTGGCCGATTGAATCGTTAGTAAGAAAATGTTGCGCTTGTTTTCAATTCAGATCTCTCTTCTCCCATTGCGCGACCGTCTCGCTTAGCAACAAATGCCACGCATTCGTGCGTGTTATAGGCATTGTTTCATTGCTGACAATGAGATAAGATACCAAGTTTTCCCGCGGCACATATTGAATTCGCATACCTGAGGCAGAATCAAACTTCAGCGTTCTAGTAATTGAGAAAGAATATCTTGAGTGTCGCACAATTGGAATATTCCCGCTGCAATTCGAGATTGAATGTAACATGTCTATGATATCCACGAGCGTGGCACATTGACGCGGGACGCGTATAATCATATACATCCATACATCGCTCCTCCATCTTCAGTGCCACCGATCGTTCAGGAGTTTGCGTTCACGAAGCTACCGATGAATGCCGGGGAATTTGCGAATCTGCAGTGTATCGTGTCGAGCGGTGACCTGCCGTTGAACATACGTTGGAGCTATCCCGGAGAAGAGATGGGCGGCTCCTCCGGCGTACTCGCGAAGAAGGTCGCGGATCGCGTTAGCATGCTCATGATCTCAGTCATCACCGCGAGACATACAGGGGAGTACGTTTGTACCGCCGAAAATGCGGCTGGAACGGCGTCCCACTCGACCGTCCTCACCGTCAATGGTTCGGGATTATTTGTTCCTAGAGAACACAGTCTTTATCATTCTTCAGTTGCGTTTTATCACCTTCTATCTTGTCCCTTGCACAGACCTTGCAAACAGCACCATAGTTATTCCCTCGTTTGCGTCACGCTTCCTTCGCGTCAATGTTGTTGAATCCTCTGCCTACTTGAATCCTGAAAGCTTTAATGAGATCGGGTAGTTCGACGGGTAGTTGACTAACGTATAGGTGTTTGTTAGAATTACCGAGAATCATTCGCAGACGTCGTTGCATCCTTTCCGGTAATGAAGCATGATTTGTTTGACGAAACCTTTAGTCGGACCGCAGCTTCTACCAATCGCTTTCAATGCCGAGATCGCCAATTGGGGAGACTCCGTGTCCGTGCCCTGCTCGATCCTGAAGGGCGACATGCCCATGGATATATCGTGGTCGTTCGATGGCATACCGATCGATACGTCAAAAGATACGGGTATCACGATCACCAGAATCAGCAAGCACTTGAGCACCCTCAGCATCGACGGCGTCTCGGCGCGCCACGCCGGAGAGTACGCTTGCTCCGCGTCAAATTTAGCTGGTTCCGTCAGTCGATCGACAACTTTGACCGTCAACGGTACGACCCTAATTCCCTCGGCACGGTTTCCGTTACAATAGACACAGTACATAATAACTATCACGAACCTCAAGTTTTCCCGAACCCGCACCCGTTATCCTAAAAGATCTCTTCCGAAAGCTTTCTTGTAATAAAACAAGGTACATACTCCACCGCCATACCAACCTTATCTAGTAATCCATATCGCATTTGACTGAAATGAACGTCATAATCGATACGTGTAAAAATGTCTCCGAATTACGCGATTAGGAAATGCGCCGCATCACGAACCGACACTTGCTCTTTCTTGTCTCGTTTCTCCCAGTCGCTCTTTCCAGTTGCCCCGCAAATACTACCTTTCGCTTTCGGGGATGAGCCGGCCAGCTGGGGCGAACTAGTCTCAATCACCTGCTCTGTCACGAAGGGCGATCAGCCTATTGAAATATCTTGGACTTTTAACGGAACGCCGATCGACAGTCGCGACTCTGATGTAGTAGTAGCCAGCACGAATCGAAAGAACAGTGTCTTAACTATCGAATCGGTCGCGGCTCGACACGCTGGCGATTATACCTGTACTGCGTCCAATCGCGTTGGTGCCACGACATATACGGCTCATCTGGCTGTAAACGGTATATGCAATCGATTCTCACAGAAGAAATGAATGCTCTTCCCGTCTGTCATGCATTTTCCTCGTTTTCCTGAAGCGATCGATTATCATAGCTGATCACTGAATACTTCACATTTATAAATACAAATACGCAACTTTTTTTACACTATTAATTACTAATTATTTCCTATTATGAATTTATTAACAATATTATAATATTAATATTTTATTAATTTTTTCCTTTTTTATTATATTGATAAAAAAGCAAGAAAATTTTTGATTCATTTAACATTCACTCGTACATATTTTTTATCCCATCACCGATCACTGTCACACTTTCTGTCTCTTACTATACCCTCCTTTGTCTGTCATTATACTCCTTCGCCTGTGTCGCTGTCGTTCACGCAGTCGCGCCACAGATCCTTCAGTTTTCCTTCGGTGACGATCCCCTCAACTCCGGCGAGATGCTGTCGGTTTCTTGCACGATCGTCAAAGGTGACTTCCCTGTAAAATTGATGTGGACCTTCGACGACATCCCAATCAACTCGAGTCGACCGGATGTTAGTATCGTGACCAATAAGAGAGTCAGCTTCTTGAGCATCGACAGCGTGGCGGCGAGACATGCTGGAAGATACAAATGTACTGCGACCAATGCTGCCGGATCCGACAGTCACATCGCTATACTTTCGGTGAACGGTATCGCGCTCGTATATGTAAAAAGAAACGCACTGCCTTACATATACATATATCCTGTATACGTACAGTTTTATTATCCTTTTGTAACTTCTTCTATTTCTGCAATAATATATCAATTGAGTAATCCTGCGCAATGTACTTCTAGCAGCGAGATTATCGTCACAGACGACAACGTACGGTCCATCCCGCAGTGACAGCGAAACGATGGTCCTTGTATACTTTTTTCCCTTTATTTTGTTCTCATTTCATTTGAACCTTTTCCTTTACTCTTGTTTTAATTTTATTTTAGAACCTTTTCCTGTATCGCTTTATAATGTATATCATTACAATATTGTTCGATGTTCTCTATTGAAATATTGTTCCTTATCTTTCCCCTTATCTATCCTCTGAAGATTCAAAGGTGCTATTTTATGAGTCGTCTAATTTGATTCTGAGTTTGTTGATTCGATAACATTTCCCGTAATCTTACTACGAGTGTTCGGGCGCCACTCCGGAAGCTTCTACGTGTGATTCACGAGTGTGTCCTTCGCGGTTACAGTTGCACCGCAACTGGCACCTTTCACTTTTGGTGATGAAGCTGCCAATGCGGGAGAGATGGCGACTGTTCAATGTGCCGTGATAAAAGGCGACCTGCCTATCGACATAATCTGGTCATTTAACGAGCGTGTGATCGACATCGCGAATGGCGCATTCAACGAGCACAATTACAATCCTGACATAGTAATAAGCAGGAGTAGCAAACGGGCCAGCCAACTGACGATCGAATCGGTAGCCGCAAGACACGCGGGCGAGTACTCGTGCACTGCGAGCAACACGGCCGGAACTGCTACCCACTCTTCGGTTCTTTCGGTGAACGGTACGCTTGACCAGTTTGAATCAATGACGGTTGGGTGGTTGGTTGGACGCACGTAATATCGGGCTATGCTTCTCTTAGCGCTTTGTGGCATCCAGAAAAAATTGCGTGTACAGTAAATGCGCCGCAGCTTCAAGATGTAATTAATAATGATCGCGTATCGTAGTTGAAAATGTCAATGATATCCTTTGTTGAGTTTGTTGAGACTTTACACGACCGAACTTTCTAGAAAATCATTGCATCTTGAGAAGGAATCGTGAAAGACCACAATTGATCATTTTTCACGTGTTATTTTTTTATACTGGTTCAATGTTACATAGTTTTTCTATGACCTTGACAGTACCGCCGCGAATCGCACCCTTCGAAATGGCCGACAGAGCGGTTAATTGGGGTGACTCTGTATCGGCGGTTTGTACGGTGGTTAACGGGGATACCCCGTTAGAGATCACGTGGGCGTTGAATGGAATGCCTATCGAGGAGAATCATCGAATATCCGTGACCACTACCAAGAGGAACAGCCTGCTGTCTATAGATTCTGCGAGTCCTAGTCATGCGGGCACTTACACTTGCGTTGCCTCCAATGCTGCCGGCGCAATCACTTATTCCGCGGAGTTGACAGTCAACGGTATCTACGATAGAAAAATCGATAGAAAAGAATGTTGATCTTGGATTCGTTTTTCCCTCCTACTCTCCTCGCCCTTTTCTTCCCGATCGAAACTGTGTATTCGGTTTAATAGAAAAAAAAAAAACCGATAGCTATTCTGACAGCTCTATTCATTTCTTCTTCGTCTTCAAATCTTTTTCTAGCGTTGCCATTTCAAGTAATTGTCAAGAAGATTGACAATTTATATAGAGAAAAATAGAGGGGAAAAAACACGTAATACTCGTTGCAGTTGCACCGCAAATTGCACCGTTCGATATCGCCGAGGAACCAGCCAACTGGGGCGATTCCATTTCCGTGGTGTGCGCCATTCTTAAGGGCGATTTACCGATCGAGATCACGTGGGCTTTGAACGGCGAGCCGATTCGGCCAGATCGTTCGGACATTAATATCTTGGCGACAACTCGGAAGAATAGCATCCTCAGCATCGAGTCCGTGGCTGCGAGACACGCAGGAGAATACACGTGCTCGGCGTCGAATAAAGCCGGAGCAACCAGTTATTCAGCGATTTTAACTGTGAATGGTATATCTTGTCTGAGAAATTCCCTGTATATTTGTCCTCTATATCCCATCATTTTCCCATTATTTGTCATCATTACTCTTCCCCTTCCCGCTCCTCTCAAAATCATCGTCGATGGTCAATCGTGGTGGTCTTCAGTATTGTCGAATCGTAAAAGACATGTATTATTATACTTATACTTGTCAGTGTTATATCATCAACTTGTAGTAGATTGGTTGCTACACGATCAGTCATTTGTCCACTTTAGTTGCTCCGGAGATAGCTCCTTTCGTACTCAGTGAGAAACCGGCGAATTGGGGAGAGACAGTCACCGCGACATGCACCATTTTGAAAGGAGATCAACCGATTCAGATCGAGTGGGCGCTCAACGGCCAGCCGATTTCTCATGATGTTTCTGATATAACAATTGTCACAAGCAAACGCGTCAGCCTACTTACGATCGACGCTGTTACGGCTAGCCACGCCGGAGAGTACACTTGTGTAGCCACTAACGCTGCCGGTGGAACGAGCTATTCCGCTTCCTTAGCCGTCAATGGTACCATATTACGTTCTTCGAAGTTTCTATTAATTCTACAGTGCATGTATGAGCCTCTTCCACGTATGTAGCTTGACATTAATACTACTTACACACTCATTCCCAAGAGGTCCTCATGTTCCTTCGCGTTTCTCAGATTTAACAAAAGAGACAGGCTATGCTCATGATATCACAAGACGAAGAAAGAGATTTAAATATACATATAGATCCTGTTTATATATTACAATTATATTAAGTTTAGGTGTAATATGGTATTATATAAACATTTGGCGAGAAACCGTACTTAAAGTTTGACGAAAGTAGAACAGGGCTATAATTAAGACGTATCCTTAGTTGCCCCTGAAATCATGCCATTTGTGATCGGCGAGGAACCGGCGAATTGGGGTGACACCATCACTGTAACTTGCACGGTGTTGAAGGGCGATCACCCGATCCAGATCGAGTGGGCACACAACGGCGAGCCAATTTCTCGAGATCATCCCGACATATCGATAGTTAGTACCAGCAAGCGCGTCAGTCTGCTTACAATCGATGCCGTGACGGCACGCCATGCCGGGGAATACACCTGCACGGCTAGCAACGTTGCTGGTGGAACGAGTTCTTCCGCATCACTGGCCGTGAATGGTATAAAGGTCTCCCACGTCTTGTGTTTCGCGTAGCTTTTCTCACTTTGTCCTATCGTGCATGTGCAGAGCGATTCATCATTCCCACGATTTCCTTCAATTCCTTTCTTTCGGAAGCTCGGAAGAAGAATATTATCAACTTGATACTGAAAAATCTTGTCGATAATCCTTTAATTTCTTCTATTTTAGCGAATACTAGGAATAATTCAGACGCGTCGTTAAAAGGATCGATTGTATGAGCAATGTTGTGACGCTTCCAAGCTGCTATTTAATTATTATAAGTCCAATATTTGTTCTTTATTATTTGTATAAAGTTAAATTTAACATGAAATTGATCTCTGATTTATTATAATATTACAATATTATAGTTGCGCCGCACATAGGGCCTTTCGCGATCAGTGACGGACCGGCGAATTGGGGTGACATGGTTTCGGCGACGTGTTCCATTATGAAAGGCGATTTTCCCGTAAAGATCGTTTGGACGTTTAACGGCAAACCGATTAGTTTGCACGATTCTGATATTACAATCACAAACATAAATAAACATATGAGTGCTCTCAGCATCGAATCCGTGGCCGCGAGGCATGCGGGCGAGTACACGTGTGTAGCTACGAACAGAGCCGGCAACGTCAGCCATTCGACCATCCTCGTCGTCAACGGTATCTACATATTTCCAGAAACACACATGCACGTCAGCTAAACGTCGTATAGCACTTGCCTAATCCATCATTGCGATTCATAGATCATTAAAACCTGCCTCATCGCATTGTCTTAATCTCACGATACGATACCCTTGTTCCTATAATCGCCGTGAATCGTAACGCTTGCCGACGACCGTCTCACGAGAATCGTAAAAAGACCGTAACAATTGTGAGGGGATTTTACCGACACGTGAATGTTATTTATCGATTCTCACGCGCGACTCGCGATCGCAGTTGCTCCGCAGATATTCCCGTTCACATTCGGCGACGAGCCGATAAACTCGGGCGAGGCGATCTCTGCGACCTGTTCCATTCTCAAGGGGGACTTCCCGATGGACATTGCCTGGGCATTCAACGGCGAGCCGATATCCGTCGAAAGTACAGATCAGTTCTCTATTACGAAGAGCAAGCGCCTCAGCGTCCTGTCGATCGATGCTGTCGCGGCTAGACACGCCGGCGAGTATACTTGCACCGCGTCGAACAAAGCCGGAGCCTCCAGCCATACGGCCGCTCTAGCCGTGAACGGTAACATCGCGCGCATGTGTTCACGTGTACCTATATACGCGACGACATTTCGACTATTCTTCCTTCGCCGGGCGAAGACAAAACCTTCCTTTTCACCACATCTCCTTCAATCTCTTCACCAGTGCTCATAATCTTTTCAACATTCCCTTGTGCTTCGTCGAGTATGGGGAGTATGGTGAGGACACCGTTTGTCTGTCGTCTGACTTTATCGCGCATTTGCGAACGAATTTTGCATCTCGCTATCTTATACACATCACATTATGTTAGCTCGAAGCAACGGCATGAATAAGTATTATCTCGCTGAACTTGCCTATCTTTATATCTTTCTCGAATTAAAATCTGTTAATTATTATATTATTTATATGAAGAAAAATATATGTGGCGATAGAAATATACTAGTAAGAGAACATAAAATAACAATGAAACAGATATCAAGATAATGAATTAGATCACGACTATAAAAATGTTTTTCTATTATTTTTCTAATATTCTTCCTATAATAGGCACCTTTGCAACGGTTTTTCTCGTATGGTACGCAAATGTACCATATCGAACTCAATGGATTTATCCTGTAAATAGGTTTGTCATATTTTGGAAAATCGTTTTCAGTCGCTCCGCAGATAGCGCCGTTCTCGATCAGTGACGAGCCCGCGAATTGGGGCGAAGCGGTCTCGTCGGTTTGTACGGTTGTGAAGGGAGACCTGCCGATCGAAGTAGCGTGGGCGTTGAATGGCGAGGCTATCACCAAGGAGAATTACGGAGATATATCGATATCGAGTACCAGCAAGCGAGTCAGTTTAATGACAATCGAGGCTGTGAGTCCGAGACACGCCGGGGAATATACTTGCACAGCCTCGAATGCTGCCGGAGCGACGAGTTACTCCGCCACCTTGGCTGTGAACGGTACTGGCATGACATGAAATGAAGTGCCTCGTTGCGATCGAGAGATTGAGCTTGAGATTCTGCTTGCAAGCATAACGTACCTAGACGAAACTGTTCTCCTATCCTCGCGTATACAACGATAACACGGCACTCCTTTAAAACCGTCCCGTCGCGTGAGGTATAATTGGCAATTGATAACGTACAAACACGAAAGTTTAGCAATGACACGACCTAAGATTATTAAGATTATTAAGATTATTAAGGAAGCGATGAAAGCGTTGAAAGCGGAGTACGTTTGCTCGACGATACATATATAAATTCTACAATTCCAATTGAATCTACACAAAAGAAAAGTTTATATATTTTTTTACATACACCGTTGTATTGATTATTTTCTGCGATTGTTTTCAGTCGCCCCGCAAATTGCTCCATTTTCTATCAGTGAAGAACCAGCTAATTGGGGCGAGCAAGTTTCTGCAATGTGTAGCATTTTAAAGGGTGACCTACCAATCGAAATACGATGGAGTCTCAATGGCGAAATTATTACGCGTCTCAATCATCCAGACGTGATAATCACAAATACCGGGAAAAAAACATCCGTCCTGACCATTGAATCTGTGACTGCCCGTCATGCTGGCGAATATAGCTGCGTCGCGAGCAATCTGGTCGGATCCGTCAGCCGTTCCGCTGTTTTGTCGGTCAATGGTATTTAAAAAAAGCCGCATGTCAAGACGTAGTGTCACCGCCAGCACTTCATCCCGCAAAGTATTTCAAAATCTATCCTCTCCAATAACAAATTTTAATCGTTAAAGCTATCGGTCCTTGGATATCGATCCACATCATGAAAAACCAAAGCTACCTTCAATTTTATTCCTCTCATATCTTTATGCAAAAATCGCAAAAACTATTCGTTCCTCACGTTTTTGAACTCTCAAGGCTAAAAAATCCAAACACGTATTCATCGGATATTTACAAGATATTATACGTGATTTTTCCTTCTTTTTCGAATCATATACTTTACCTTCTTTTTCGTATCGCAGTCTCTCCACAGATAGCACCGATCTCCTTCGGCGAGGAACCCGTTAATGCCGGAGATCTGGTGTCGGTGCAATGCGTAGTGACCAAAGGCGATTTTCCTCTGGAGATCACGTGGATCTTCGACAGTCGTCCTATACAATCTTATCACGGCGACGTGATCGTGTCCGATACTGGAAAGCGCGTCAAACAACTGATCATCGAATCGGTAGCTGCGCGACACGCCGGGGAATATACCTGTGTTGCTTCAAACGCAGCTGGATCAACCTCCTATTCAACCATGTTAAACGTGAATGGTACACCTTTCGACAAGCCACAGTTTGCATTTCTGTATTTAGCCATCTTTCGTCTGAATTTATCCTCATCTGATTTATCCACTCCTCCGATAATTTTCACGAGTCCCTCGCGAGGCCTCGTTCCCGTTTTATACTTTTATCCCATGCAGTTATTTCTCTCTAAATTTTTCCGTATCTTCGCTTTTCATATTACTCGTAGCACGACATGTGTCTGTGTTTTCTAGAGCCCGTCGCTGTCATTTTAGTCACCAAATTTTTATTAAACATGATATTTTTTCTCAATTTCTTTGGTTATACCCGCCTGTTTCTTTTCATTTCATTATCGATCAGCATCGCGAAACATTATACAGCGTTAGGGTGGGATTACATTTGTGCGTTTTTGTCGTACGATAAATTTTTCAAGTCTGTATCAAAAACGCACAGGTGAAATAGCATCCTGATACAATACAAGAATGACACGCTCATCACACGGACTTTAAAATAAACGGAAATAAGAAGAAACGAAGAGAGGACGAATGAAGCGAGGATGTTTCGCGAGATAATACAACTTCTTATCGTCGATCTAATAATCGCGCAACTCTGTGCTGATGTAGCCTGCGGCTTCAAGATCTTCTTTCTCTCCTTTTCTGATCTCTTTCTCTTTCTCTCTTCCAGTCATTCCGAAATTATTGCCATTCGCGTTCGGCGAGGAGCCGCTTAACTCAGGTCAAGTAGTAACGGTACCATGCGCAGTGGTCGAGGGCGATCAACCCTTGCAGCTCCGTTGGACCTTAAACGGTCATGCGATCTCGCCGCACTCCGGAATCTCGATCGTGGATTTGGGCGGACGTGGCGCCATACTCAGCATAGGATCCGTCCAGGCGACCCATGCTGGAACGTACACGTGTGTCGCGGAAAACCTTGCCGGCAGACACGAGCTTTCGGCCGATCTTATTGTCAACGGTGCATACTCTGATCCGCAAGGATCTACTCGATATTTCGTTGAGTCCTGCGAATTCTCCTCAATCCCGTATATCCAAGTTGTTTCCCTATCCATTATCCTAGACCGTCGTTTCTTCCCATAGACACTCGTTTCAAGATCGATTTTCATTCAAATATCCGTCGCGCTCTTATCGATCTTTGTGCGATAAAGTTTAGGTTGTAATCGCCATTTTTGCTGATGCGATCAGACACGAGAGCAGCTGTTACAATTACAATTACCGAGCTAATCGCGCTCAATGATATCGCGTCTTAAATCTCATGCGGCGCAAATTCGCCTCGCGAAGCGAGACATTCATTCTCGCCCGCGTGTCTCTCTCTCTTTTTCTCTCTTACTCTTTTTCTCTTTCTCTCTTCGTCTATTATTGCCTGTTGTCTCTAGTTTCTATTCGTTCTCTATCTCCCGGCAGTCGCTCCACATCTGCAGCCGTTCGCGTTCGACGAGGCCAACTCCGGCGATCTGATAATCGTCCATTGCGCGGTCGTGAAAGGGGACACGCCGATTTCGCTCAAGTGGTTGTTCGAGGGCCGCCATTTAGAGGTAGGCGAAGGAGTGGGTATCACCGCGTTGGGGGATAGAGTCTCAGCCCTGACGATTCCCGCTGTCAGGGGAGAACACGCCGGGGAGTATGCTTGCGTCGCCGATAATCCAGCGGGCAGTGCTCGGCACAGCGCCCATCTGAAAGTGAACGGTACAGAGAAAACGAATACACGATCACAAAAGCATCCAGTAAAAGACAGAGAATAAAATAAAAAAAAAAAAAATATATATATATATATACGTATATTTTCTTTAACACAAAGCGAAACCGCGCGGCATGATGATGGTGTTTAACGGGCGTACGCGTAGTGAGAGTACTACCGTTTTGTATGCGTGTTACTATTTGAGCGGAAAGCAGTGGTACGTTTACCCTTTTATTCGGCTGTAGTTACATACACATATATATATTTATATCTATCAGTAGAGCGTTTCAATATGTTAGATTTACGCCCCTTGCTGCCGCTTCACGTACGTCGTAAAATCTCCAATCTGTCTGTCCTAGCTGTATTGTAATGATATTATACGAGATATGTGTGTCTGGTCTGGAAATCTGCATTGCTCGACACATATTCCTCCTTTCTATCTATAGAGAGTTATCTTCCTTGTAACGAGGTTAAACTATTTAGTTGATTCGTATAGGCGAGAGTAGTTTGTGCCCACGTCTGTTTGTATCACGTACGAGGCGTCGATTACTACGAGATGAGCCGTGTCCCTCATTCTCTCCCGGCCCAGAACTGTCTCTCATTCTCTGGCACGTTCTCTATCACTCCGCATCCCTTCTCTCATCTCTGATCTGATCTCGACAGCTCGGTTACAGAAGTCAGTCGATTTAGTCGAAGGACTGCCACAGAGCTCCGATTATTCCAACGCAATTAGTTTAGAGCCGAATTGATTATTTTTCGTGCAATCTACGGAGAATAACAGCACGCCGCTCATAATAAAAATATGAGAAAAAGCAACGTTAGTTTCTTGGACGGAAGGGCGTATTACAGAAAACGGACGCAAATGACGACGGACGATCAACCACGATCATTCGCACGATCGATCGCGAAGAAACCGGAATGAAGATCGTTTACGGGAACTTGGATCTATCTGCCATTCCGTTGCAGTCCTGCCACGGATCAATCCGTTCGATTTTGGAGACCGACCGATCTATGCCGGGCAGGCCGCCCAATTGGCATGCATGGTACCGATAGGCGACACGCCAATTGAGATCGCCTGGACCCACGAGGGCGAACCATTGTCGCAGTTCATGGGATTCAGCGTCGGGAAACTCGGCCCACGGACGAGTATACTACTGATCGAGCCGGTAACACCGGAGCACAGCGGACGTTACGCGTGTGTCGCTAATAATCCGTCGGGCAGGGCGATCCACGAGGCAACCTTACGAGTCCACGGTTAGGTCCAGAGTAAAGAACGGAGCACTGAGAATGACATGACGTTGATAATGATGGTTGAGCGAAGTTTCGGAATGATAATAAAAATAAAAAAAAAACCAAAACAAAACGCGGGTCCCACGCGAGTATTTAAGTACAGGCTTGATTGGTTGCATTTTATTCATCGTTGCTGTGACGCTGATCATGTGTTTTTTCCCCTGTTGGCGAAAGCTTTCTGGAATTTCAGTTGGTTGGAGCTCGCGCTCAGCTCAACTTGTACAAAAAAGCGTTGCTTTTGTCACCGATGACGACCTTCTCGTTTCACACTTTCTATCTCTGTCTCTCTCTCTCTCTTTCTCTTTCTTTCTGTCTCTGTCTATATTTACTTCTCACCGCTGTAATTTCCTCTTTACTATGTATCTGCCGATATTTCAAGCGAGCGAAAATCAATCCGAATTTCCTTCATGCTCTGAGAATCAATAGCTTTTGCCGAACTGTTGGCCTTTTCCTCGTTTATTTTGCTCTCATCGTCAGCCGCTCTTGTGCGACTTTTTACGTTGGCTTCGATCATCCCTGCGGCGAAATAACGCGACAGGATGTATTTTCCTTTCGCACGCGAATCTCATCGCGTTTCTACATCCTTCACGAACGCGTTCGCCATTCCCGTAGCACAAATGATTTAAATGCCACTTTTTGTGATCGCAGGATTGCGTAGGTTTCACATGCAAGTTGCATGTGATTCGTCTCGTGTACGTTCGAGTGTCGATTTATACCTCACCGTACCCCCCATTCGCGCTAAAATGCGTCCTTGTACTATGATGACCGACCGACCATCCAACCACATCTCAGAATTCACCCCACGATCAATTTATCACAACCCTATACCCACGAATAGATTCCCCCAAACACGCCCCTCCTCGACCCCTGACCATCTCTCATCACACATTTTGCCTTGTTCATTTTGTAGACGCGTATGTAGCGTAGATACTTAATATGCACGCATTTATATACATGAACGAGCGTAATCGAGTGTTATTAGTAAACGCGGTACAGCATGATGTACTGTGCTCGAATACAAATTCGATAGCGCTTCGTGCATGCCGTTAGATTCCTTCATAGTCTCTTTTTTTGCATGCATCTCCTTTTTCTCTTTCTCTTTCTTTCTTTCTCTCTCTTCCTCTCTCTTTTTCACTTTCTATCTCTCTATTCCATGCATTAGATACCCGCATAATCACTTCAGAATCCCGCATGCCGTGTATTTTATTCATCGCAGTAGCAGGAGCGTGTCGCGTTTTGTTCTGCATGCGACAAAATTGCTATACAATTCGAGTCTTCATATTATTTAACAATATTAAAATTATTTCTAATATCTGATATTTATATAAGAATAAATGCTAAGCAGCAATTTCGTTCATTATTTTAAATACAGACATTCAATTTTAACAAAATTCAAAAACTCATTTTTTCAATTTATTTTCATTGTTGTTTCCTTAAATTTCATCAGAATATTTCTTAAAGAAAGCAAATAATATAGTCTATTATTACTGTAATTAATTCACATGTATAAATTAATTAAACTTTAGATAATAATTTTATTACTATAAATAATAAATTTTGAGAAGCAAACGACTCGAGTTTTCAAGCGACTGGCTCCTGGATACTGCACAATCTTATGTACGCAAAAATACATCGCGGCTAATCTATTTATTCTGTAACAGTACCTCCTCGTTGGATTCTGGAACCTACCGATAAAGCATTTGCTCAAGGATCCGATGCACGAGTAGAATGCAAAGCCGACGGATTCCCCAAGCCTCAAGTCACATGGAAGAGAGCTGCTGGTAAGTACACTAGCAACCGCAGCCTAACAAATACTAAATCTTTCTACTTGCATACACTTATTATAACACGTCTGTTTCATCTTACAGGGGATACGCCGGGAGATTATACGGATTTGAAATTGAGCAATCCTGACATTAGCGTGGAAGATGGCACTCTCTCTATTAACAATATACAAAAGACGAATGAAGGCTATTACCTTTGTGAGGCTGTTAATGGAATTGGATCAGGCTTATCAGCTGTCATTCTTATTTCGGTTCAAGGTATTTCACGTTTAGTCGTTTTGCATCTTGTAATTTCTATTGCGTTTTATACAACTTTTTGCAATATCTTTTTAGCTCCTCCGCAATTTGAAATTAAACTAAGAAATCAAACCGCTCGTCGTGGAGAACCGGCTGTATTGCAATGCGAGGCGCAAGGAGAGAAACCAATCGGCATTTTATGGAACATGAACAACAAGAGATTAGATACGAAGAGTGATCCTCGTTATACTATTCGTGAAGAAATCTTGGCTAATGGAGTACTGTCTGACTTGAGCATCAAACGAACCGAAAGGAGCGATTCTGCCTTGTTTACTTGCGTAGCCACGAATGCCTTCGGTAGTGATGATACTAGCATTAATATGATCGTACAAGGTTGGTTCATATAATTATATATAACATGTTTGATAAATCAACAAAATATGTAAAGTCATGATCTAATTTATGTATTTATTATAGAGGTGCCAGAAATTCCATATGGTCTTAAAGTGTTGGATAAATCAGGACGTTCGGTGCAATTATCATGGGCCGCACCTTATGATGGAAACAGCCCGATTAAACGATATGTTATTGAATACAAAATCAGCAAGGGTTCCTGGGAAACTGATATTGATCGAGTGCTCGTACCTGGCTCACAACAGAACGTAGCCGGAGTGTATAATCTAAGACCCGCGACCACCTACCATCTTCGAATCGTCGCTGAAAACGAAATTGGCACATCTGATCCATCTGACACGGTCACCATTATCACTGCAGAAGAAGCACCTACTGGCCCGCCAACTTCCATTAAAGTGGATGCTCTCGATCAGCATACGCTCAAGGTAAGCAGAACAATTGCATTGTAGTTAGCCCATAAACAGAGCGTTTCAGCAACATTCATAACGTTATTATTGCTGTATAAGCGTTTGGGAATATATGTGTAATAAACGTAAATTCCATCAGGTAACGTGGAAACCGCCTCCGCGTGAGGACTGGAACGGTGAGATTCTCGGCTACTATGTTGGATACAGACAGTCGTCGGACAAGCCGTACATGTTTGAGACTGTCGACTTCTCCAAGGAAGACATAAAGGAGCACCACTTGCAGATCGCAAACCTCAAGACTTACACTCAGTACGGTGTGGTTGTTCAAGCATTTAACAAAGTCGGCTCCGGACCAATGAGCGAGGAACGTAGGCAACATACCGCAGAAGGCGTGCCCGAACAACCACCTCATGATACTACTTGCACAACTCTTACTTCTCAGACTATCAGAGTGTCCTGGGTATCACCGCCACTCAGCGCGGCCAACGGCGTTATCACCGGTTACAAAGTTAGTAAAAACATGACTGAGAGGGAGGCATAAAATCATTTGCAGTAGCATCTTTAAATATTTGCTTTAGGTCATCTATGGACCGTCCGATACGTGGTACGACGAGAATACGAAAGACACCAAGATTACATCTTCTAGCGAGACCATCCTGCACGGTCTTAAGAAATACACCAACTATAGCATGCAAGTTCTGGCTTTCACATCTGGAGGAGACGGCGTTAAGTCTGCACCAATTCACTGCCAAACTGAACAAGACGGTAATTAAGAAATCAATATTAATATATTGGTTTATTATGCGAAAGCACATATTTTTTAACATATTACATGTTCCGTGTCCACTTTCAGCACCCGAAGCTCCTATTGCTATCAAAGCTTTAGTCATGTCTTCGGAATCCATTCTTATCTCATGGCGTCCGCCCAGCCAACCTAATGGAGTTATTTCTCAGTATACTGTTTACACGAAAGCGGACAATACAGAGGAGCCAACTAGTCAGAAAGTGCCACCAAATCAATTAACTCACGAAGCGTCTGGATTAGACAAGCAACAAAGATATGAATTTTGGGTGACCGCTAGCACGAATATTGGTGAAGGTGAAGCTTCCAAGATTGTGACTTTGGGACCAAGTGTTCGAGGTAATTTCTTCATTCAAAATTCACATTTTAGTTGTAACAAATTAAATTTGTGAATCGATTACAAATTTTCATAGTCTATTATAAATTAAAAAGTATTGTAAGTTTTATACTTTACTTATAGTACCAGCCAAGATCGCATCGTTCGATGATAAATTCACTGCAACATACAAAGAGGACGTTAAGCTGCCGTGTCTCACTGTCGGTGTACCCGCACCGGAAGTAACATGGAAAGTACGAGGCGCTAATCTTCAAACAACCGAACGATTGAAACAATTACCCGAGGGATCGCTATTCATCAAGGAAGTCGATCGCGCGGACGCTGGAGAATATTCTTGTTATGTGGAAAACTCCTTTGGACATGATACCGTGACTCATCAACTGGTCGTTCACGGTACATAAATATTCCAACAAATGGAAGTTCTATAATAGTTACTGATTTCAGTTATCCGTTATTAAAATTAATGTTATATTTTCACAGCTCCTCCGCACTCACCGCAAGTTACTCTTACCGCCACCACTACCAATTCTTTGACGATGAAATTACGCCCGCATCCCACGGACAATGCACCGATTCATGGCTATACGATTCACTACAAACCTGAGTTTGGCGATTGGGAAACTGTTCAGATCAGCTCCACAGCACAGAAATATACACTCGAGAATCTGTGGTGCGGTTCCCGATATCAGATTTATGTCACCGCTTATAACGGGTAACTTTACTGTTAAAATCGTAATAAATTTTTGTAATAAGAAATTTTATACACATATGAGTTTTCTTGCAGAATTGGAATCGGCGATCCTTCGGACATTCTAAACACGCGCACAAAGGGCTCCAAACCAATCATCCCTGAAGCGTCGAAATTCATCGAGGTATCCACGAACAGCATCTCTTTACACTTGAGCACCTGGTCAGATGGTGGCTGCCCCATGTTGTACTTCGTTGTTGAACACAAGAAGAAGTAAGATAAAAGGATAATCATACGACGAACATCCAATCCAATATCAAGATCGATAATTAAAGACACATGTTTTCTTCAGAATGTAACTTTGTAGTATTGGATTTGGACCCCGCTAGCTGGTACCATTTGCGTGTTACGGCTCACAATAATGCTGGTTTCGCCGTGGCCGAATATGAATTTGCGACTTTGACGGTGACTGGCGGTAAGTATGGGTGGTCGTCTGACACACAGCGGCGCCTCGTAGCCGGTGCCAATGGTGGCTGGATTGAACGGTCGCCGAAACGTTTTCTGTTCCAGGCACCATTGCACCGGCCCGCGAGCTGCCGGACGTGAACGGTGGTAGCAACGATGAAGACCCAATGAAAATTTTCATGGCTAACTTAAATCTGGTCGTACCTGTGGTAGCAGCCATACTCGTAATAATCGTTGCCGTCATTGTGATCTGCGTTCTCAGGGGGAAGGGTCACAGTAGCGATAAAGGTAATCATCATAAATCTATTTTCTTCTTTAAACAGGTACTATCGCACCTCCCATTCGTAATGGCGGTAATGACAACACTGCGGATGTGAGACGGTATTTTCCATGGTTACCCAGCTGGCTCGATGTAAACGTGGTGGTGCCAGTTGGCGCGACGGTCGTTGTTATAATAGTAGGAATAGTTGTCATTTGCGTGGCGCTCTCGAGAAGAACTCGAGGCCCGGAACAAACACGGCTGCGAGGTATCTCTTCAGCCGACGAGAAATATTACGAGGGACAATGTATACAAATTTTTTTTAATTACTTTTACCTGTTAAGTCGCATAAAGACGGTGGAGGTTCATCGGGAAACGAAACTGCAAGGAATACGAAACTCTGATGAATACTGCTGCTAATGATATTCTCGATTAGCTGATCGAGAAAAGTGTCAGTCATAGATATTATCATAATAATATTATATTTTGTATTGTCATAATATTATCGTGATAATTTCCTGACGATCGATCCACGCGTCGACCACCCTAGTCTTGAAATCCTCTCCGAATATTAAATTTCAGAATTTTTCTCTTTCCTACATTTTCCTTTTATTTCACAAGCGTGGGTGATGGCATATATAATCAATATAATTCGTCGATAATAAAATCAGAAGTATCAAAATGTACGTACATTCACAATTATTAGATTGAGCGTTTTTATTTCAGACGACGTAGTCTATCAGCAAACCGGAGTTGGCGGCGCTACCTTGGACAAACGCAGATCTGATCTTCGTGATGAATTGGGATACATCGCACCCCCGAATCGCAAGCTTCCACCTGTACCCGGCTCAAATTATAACACCTGCGATCGTATCAAGCGAGGTACAGTTATAAGTAAGCCCAACTGCCAACACTTACCTTTTAGATCAATTTCAACTTGTCTAGTTGTTGTCGTATCGGCACGATAGTTCCTTCTTTCATCTTTTCTCAAGGGATACACATCGAGATTTGCACATACTAGGTTCCCAGGATAGGCTCTCAGTCAGTGTCAGACAGATCCCCAACCCAAACAGAACCCATATACACGATCAATGCCAATTTCTTTTTTCGTTCGCCATGCTTTGAAATGTTCTTATATACGTTACCAAGTTTGTATGTCCCTCCAGCGAAAACATAACGTTCGTTCCTACTTGTTTGCGCTTATTACGCCGTTGGTGCCTAACGAGTGTCGACTGTATCGATTTGCATATTAATCAAACGATTATTAGTAATAAAGAGTATCTTCTCCCCAGAGCTCAAATCCTCTAAACTCTTTAAAGAGAACAGGGCTATTAGTTGGCGGGAACAAATCTTGATAGGCACCAGCGTGTCGTACGACCTTTGTAGTATGTGTTCGATAGGTGGAACTGGCTCATTAAGGAGTCACTCGACGTGGGATCCAAGGCGACACATGTATGAGGAATTGAGTCACTACGCGCCCAACAGGAGATGCCCACCACCACCACCACGTATGGGCAGCGCGGATGGTCTTTCGCACAGAGGTTGGTAATAGCAATTTTGGTTAACGGGCATTCGGCATTCGCCCGATCGCCCTAGAGACTGATAATCGCAGGCCGGAGCCGGCGATGTTGCTGGCTCGTACCAGCCGGTCTTCGTAAGTCCCCTCTCGTTTCGTGAAACCTCACATCACTTTAACGGCACGTCTCGTTTCTCGATGTTTGCATGTTTCCGCATGCCTGCGCAAATAGCACGCCGACAGATAACACGAACCACATATAGGGAGGAATTACATTCATTCATGTCTTTGTCTTTTCTAAGATAGAAATCTCTATGTCCGTATATCGATTTTTAGGATTTTTAGAGGATGGATAAGAGTGGATAATAATTTTGAATATTTTATATCAAATAGATAACTAAAATTAAAATGATTACTGGCTGCGATATTCACTGCCAGTACTGAAAATCTATACGTAACATATGTTATAGATTTTTAGTACTGTACTGTCAGCAAATATTCGAATGCAATCTAATTAATTGAAGACTATAGCAAAAATTGGGAAAGTTACTTTATAAAAATATCTTGTGTGTGTGTGTGTGTGTGTGTTACCGTTATCATTATTGATTTTAAAATGTCTTAACTTATCACCATTATCGTTTATAAAAACAGTTGTTACAATTTCCATTATAAATAAAGAAATGTAACATTATTACTAACAACGTTATAATAATTAGTAACGCGTTACACACTTTTCAATCTTAAATATAACGTTATTTTACGTATAAGTTGTATAACAAAGATTATGTAAATAATCAATAAAATGATCGGACTCAAATTTATTTAAATACATTTTTAATGCACGATCAATTTTTGAAGATTTAATGATTTAATAGAATGAGAATCGAAGAAAGAAGAAGAGTTAAAGTGAGCAAAATAAATTTTTTTGGTCGTTTAAATCTGAATATAAGAATTAATAGTAAGGATTGTAAATATTTTTTTCGATTCCATTCTTAATCAAACTGTACTTAGAAATTACTGTTAATAGGTAAAAATTTACACACAAGAAGTAATCTTTATAGCAATCTGTATTGTTCAACAATGTCTCGTAGATTTTCTATCTGTAGTGACAGAGTCTACCCTGGTTGATCGTCCATTTTTAGGTATGGAAGATGAGATCTGCCCATATGCTACGTTCCATTTATTGGGATTCCGCGAGGAAATGGACCCGAGCAAAGCTATGCAATTCCAGACCTTCCCTCATCCAGGAAATGGCCATTCTGGCACTATGGGACCACCCGTAGGACATCCGACTAACGCTTCTGCTCATAGCCGCTCTGGATCTCAGTCTATGGTATTTTATAATTCTTTTTCGTATTTAAACAATAAGCAACGTATTAGCAAATTATTATCACAAATATTAAAAGATTTCCGATATTTAAAAATGGCATTAAATCACAGGCAGTGAAGAGACTTTCAAAAAATCCTATTAATAAATACGTTACTTAAAAAACGTCTAACAATAAGATGTATATAAAAATGCAAAAAAGAAATATATAAAAACAGAAATAAATAAAGAAAAATAAAAAATAAAGAAAAAGATAAAAAAATATAATAGAGACAGTACAGCCCTAATATAATTACCGCTGGAATCGCGATCAATTTTTCCCACAGCCTCGTCAAAACGGTCGCTACTCTCGAGTACCATCCCAAGGAGGCGGCAGCGGCACGCACAATGTCTTTTCACCCGAATATGACGATCCGGCTAACTGCGCTCCCGAGGAAGACCAGTACGGATCACAATACGGACAATACGGCGCACCTTACGATCATTACGGATCTCGCGGATCGGTCGGACGTCGTAGTGTAGGCTCGGCTCGCAACCTTCCCATCTCTGGCTCGCCGGAACCGCCTCCACCACCACCGAGAAACCACCAGGATCAGAATAACTCCAGCTTCAACGATAGCAAGGAGAGCAACGAGATTAGCGAGGCCGAGTGTGATCGCGATCAGCTTGTCAACCGCAACTACGGCGGTCAGTAGAAAGATTCACGACAGCTCGGAGAGAACGAGCGAACGAGGGAGATCATGAAGCTCGACCTGATCCGACACGGGAAGTCGTAAAGTTCGCCTTTCCCGCTCGAATCTTGCGTCTGGTGACATGCTCCCTCTCGAGGAACGATCTCGTTCTGATTCAGCCCTACTTACTGATGCTCGTTTCATTATGCATTAAGCATTATTAGGCGTACGGCGGCTCATTATGCGGACGTATCGCATGGCGGGCGAGTCACGAATGAAGAAGACTCGCCGTGGACTTATGTGTTTTTCTTTCTTTTTTTTTTGTCTTTTTTAATCCTAATCGTTTATATAGTTTTTCCACAAATTGCATGTTACGTGTTGTCGTAGTAGTTTAATCGTTGTGTCAATCGTGCCGTGTGTTTTTCTATTTCAGTGAATGCTCGCGGCAAGGACGGCATGACCACCGAGGAGATGCGTAAACTCATTGAGAGGTCAGTAGAGCGCGAGTGAGTTTGGTTAACGGTGAACGGTTTTAATGGCGTTACACCGTTTCTGCCGCTGTGTCTCGAGCGATTTTACTTTCGCGAGAGCTGTAATTACCGTGTATTGTACCGTGTCAAAATGTCCCACGGGCATTTTCCGAATCGAGCGATGTATCACGATCGCTCACCGAGGTATAGACCGCAATCCGATTCGGCTCCATGATTTTCAATTTTTCTTTAAAGAATCACGCTACCGATCGATCCTTTCGATTCGCATCCTCGCTACATATCTTCGTACTATATACTTGATTATTTGTGCGCGATTGAATTGTCGATTGACAACGATCGAGTGCACGGTGGTTCGACCTTCAAAGAGCCTCAAATACCCAACTATTTATCTATTTAACGAACGTTTGATCTTTTCTTGTTTCATGACTAATTACTCAGGAAGCCGTAAGTTCGTTAAACATAATCAAGTCAGGATGTACAAACGTTAAAAGACATGTGAAGAGCTTTTGAGATGCGTCATATCATTTTTCCACTGATTTTCATCATCCCATTGAAGTTCGGCTACCCGATTTGTTTTGCGACGAGCAGAGTAGACGACCTTTCAAAACGTTGCTTTCGGACATGACAAAGTCCCAAATCTCCATCGAAAACGCTTACTAACATGAAATGTGTTCGCATGTAGCTTTAATGAATAATGCCATGTGTAATGTGTAGTTGTGTAACTAATGCAAAGCTAAAATGTGCAGTAGAGATAATACGTTGATCGTATTTCCTCTGCAGCTGTTGCTATTGTCATCGCTTTTCGAATCCCATTCGGAGCTGCTTATGTCACTAACGACTGATATGTTTACAATCGTCATTATTATATTTTGTTTATTCATAGCATCACTGCCATCATCGTTGCTAGTTGTTATAACGCATGTTTTCGTACAATTTGCCTGCAGAGATCTCTTCCTCATATAGCAATTAATATATTGTGCTTTTACTTCAAAAGTGATACAATTACAAAAATGAGGTTTCTCAGAAAAGTAGAAAAACCGTTTCTCAATTTAATAGAAAATTATTGACTAATCAAGAAATAATATTGTGCGAAAAGAATATATTTTTAATATGATTAAATGTCATTTTCACGATCATTGAAAAATTACTCTTTTTGAATTGCGATCATTTTTTTTAAACTATCTTTTTTGAATTGTGATGATTTTTTTTAACTATCCTTTTTAAGTTTTGATGATTTTAACAATTTTTTATAAAGTTACTTTAGTTCACTTTTGATGATTGATAAAGTAATGTTTATCTAACTATTCTAACTCATTTACAGTAACACCTAGAGAATCATGTTTTTTTAGTTGTGTCACTTTTGGAGTAAAGGAGTGACGAAGCTGAACAAATTTTTTTAATGCTAAACATAAATATAATGAAAAATTTGCTTAAAATTGATTGCACATACAATAAAAAATGGCGCGGGAGAGATCTCTTTGAATAAATGGGATTGTTGCGTGATAAAATGATCGATCGGCGTCGGATATAAAAAACGCAAACTCCTGTTGCAGAAACGAAGCTCCCGGCCGGCAAACCGGCGGCCCCCACGGCGGTCACGGGGGACTCCTCACACCCTACGATACTGTGGCAGTGTAACCTGTAAATCGTCATCTTCCGTGATCTTCCGCCTCTCTCGATAGCCGGCGGCCGCGAGGAAAGGAGCCGAGAGACGCGGAAATGAAGCGCACGCTAACTCTTCCCCCGGTGCTGTCGTCGGTCCAATTTGCAACGATTTACGATAGAAATTAGAGACGTCGTCGCGAGTAGATAGATTCGATTACCGTGTAAGGTGTACGCGTATTGATATCATCTCGAGATCATATGATTACGGACGAGGATTCCGCAGCCCGCCTCGCGAAATGGGACCGCCTCCTTCGCTCCCGCGACCATATCACACGACTTTTCTCCTTCTCTCACTCACGGCCTTCCGCTCTTTCATTGTACTTCCTCGGGTACGTTCGTTTATATTTGATCCTGGGGGAAGGCTAACTTGAAACTGCCTTGTTTTTGATAAATCTTTTTGGACCGGTTTAGTCGATTATGCGCATTCGAGAAGGCTAAACTCAAGACTGTCTGTATCTACTGCCCTTACTGCGAAGGAGGCACAGCGATTCGTGAGGTCAGCCACACTTCGTTCGTAACTTTTTTACGAGTCCTGGAACTCCTCGCGCACGTTCGATTACATCTGAAATTTTTTTATACCTACAGCTGTAGAAAATGACCTGCGTTTTGATACGTGTCTTCCTCGATGACGTGCGATCAGGCTCAATGATGATTTGTAAATGTATACTTGACGAACTTATAAATTAATCGTCTATACTACACACACACACACACACACACACACACACACACACACACGCACACGTGACGAAATATTTCGATTATCGGAGGACACTGAGGGGAATTTGAATCTTCTCGCACTATATTCGTCGAACGTGCGCGAGATATTGGAGGCTCGTGAGACTGTCGCAAGAAACTTGTCCTGTAGGAAGGCGAACACAACCGGAAGTCGTGTTCGCGGACTATTCAGTTGCGGCAGAGACGCGGCCCGCGATGGTGCTCTCGGCGACGGTGGATTTAACGGGGGTCTTCTGATATACAATATATATCCAGGATATAATCCTAGGTTACATTCGTCGCAGGAGTTGCGAAGGATAATGGAAAAAAAAAGAAAGAAAGAAAGAAAGGAAACGTATAAACAACATATATGCGTATACATGAGATTAGTTGGTCGCTTTTTAAGTCATGGTTGTGCCACACTGCCGCTCCCTGCGGGCGTACGATATATAGATACATACGTACACATATACTATATACATATACTGTACGATTTATAATTTCGTAACGAAGGTTGTGTCCCCACCCTTGCCCCTGCTCCTTTTTCGCCCTTTTTGCCCTTTTTGCCCTTTACCCCCCTTGACGATCGGTGATCTTGAGTCTCGTGGTCTCGACGTCGCGGAGAGCAAGGTTTATAGGGTACGTCGTCGCATTTTCGTCTTTCGTCGTCGCTGTCGTCGTCGTCGTTCTTGTAGCGATCCGTTTAGGCGATCGATTCGAGACATTTCCATATTGTTCGCTCGAAAGGGGATAAGTCCCGTACACGAAACACCGATCGACTGTCCGTAGGAAGAACAACGCGGCAAGCCATCGAGGGAACGCTTCGATATGCACACGGCAGGCCAGCCAGAGCCTCGCAACATTACGATACATGATCGCCACGCGCGCTGGCGCGTATACGCAATATACGCCACACTACACTTGCTGTCGTCCTATATGATATAAATATTTAGTCCGCTCTGTATACACCTAATTATTCCTCCCCTCTCCCCCCGTGCTAATCTTCTATCGATCAATTACGCGACGTACCGTACGTAAAAATTCACTGATATCGCGACGATGATCGTTACAGGTGTAAGCGATTCGAGTAATAAAAGAAGTTGGTTTAACGTAGATAGTTTGTAAGTCGGACGGATGGTCGCGAGAAGGCGATCGTTGATTTTCGCGACGAGGCGAGAGGTCGGGATCTGGTTAACGGAACGTATACGTATACTCAAGACGTAAATCGAAGATGGTCTGTCTGGATCATCACGATCGGACGATCGGACGATTGATCTTTTGCTGGTTCGATGAAAGAAGCGGATGCTTCTCGAGCTTCTTCGCGTATGCACCAGCCCGACGTCGCGCAACGTCGCGGCCACGACGCCGCGTCTCATAGTTCGTTTTTATCACGATACTATTTCTAGATATATACATACAAATATAAATATAAATATATATTATATATACACTAACTATATATACATACATACGTTGTAAGTAGCTATTTCTAGGTGTCGCATTTGTTTGCCGAGGCGATGCGCGAGCCGACTACCAGTTGGGCGACTAGACCAAGAAGCACTCTCGAAAAATTACTCTCATCAATTATATTGATGATATCAATTATATTCCCGCGTATTTAACTCTCATCGTGTCGGACAAACTGTATCTTGTGAATTATTGCTCCTTATTGATGTTACCATTAACTCATTTCATCCAATCTATTGCGATCGATCGAAAGAAAATATTTTGTGAAATTTATTTCATATTATTATTCTGGTGCTAATTACATTTTAAAGTCAATTTCATTCAAGCCGCAATTAGTACGGCCTAAATTGATACTGCCATCGTTTTTTATTATTCACTGCACTCAGAGACAAACATATAGCGATAGTAACTATACAGGTTTTGTATTATGTAGAATTAATGTATCTACATAGTTGAATAAACTATTTTATAATTGCAATGACTATAAAATAGTCATTCAACTATACGCGCGTACATTAACTCTACATAATATAAAACTTGTATAATTGTCATCATCTACTATATAGAGTTGCTGCTACTATGTCTTTCCTCTATGAGTGTGGACTGAGATTAAAACTGTAAAAATATATACACGCACATATAGGCTGTAAAGAGAGAATTTTTGAAATGTTGGAGTAGAGCTTGAAGGGTGCTTCGTCCGTTCGAGTCGCTTCTGCTCTCGCAGAGGAATTCCTACCCTCTGCCACTCGAAACTGGTTACGGCTCGACGTGCCAACGCACTTTTACTCATCGATGTGATTTTAAAAGGCTGCGCAAAAAAGCCTCGTGTCTCGTGTATATGTTACAATCGCGCTCTTACCGTAATTAACGTAGCCGTATCTCGTCCCAAATCACCCTTTACGATTTACAGTATCACGTTCTAATCACGTAACTCGCCCCCGCGAAACTTTGTCGCTTCGAATCGCTTCCGAATTTAACCAGAACTAATATACGGCACAGGCCGATAATGATGATAACAATGATGATGATATTAATGCATTCGTATATAGTAATACGATCACGTCCGCGCGCTACCTTGGTCGCGGTTTTTAACTTTTGTCTTAAGCGAAGTGGACGTCCGCGACGTCGCACAGGTGATAAACGTTTATGTTGTAAGCGGCCCGGGGTGACCGGCAAAAGGGGCTATGAACGAGGCACATTTTCGTGCAGATAATCAGTTTAATCGATATCTTCGATTAACTTCGGCTAAACATTAAATGTTTCTCGCAGCTGAAAACGTTGACGATGATGAGTAATATTCAAAGACTGAGAATTTTACGTCCATGTTTTGCTTATCGCTTCATCCATCTCTCACTCGCGGTTGCTTTGTTCACACAGTAGCGTTCTCATAGAATTGATGTATGCGCCGTCCTCGTGCCTTTCTTGCCGGATACCCCCCCGTGCCGATCGTTCGCTCGTCGCGCTTCTCGTGATCGACGTTATATATATAGGTACTGCGTAGTAATTCTTTGCAAGATTCGACGTTACTTTTTTGAGGGACGCCGCGAAGCGTGTCGCTCGCTTGTGTATGCTTGATTGATAATATTGCGTTGAAAGCATTTGGCTGTTCTTTTACGTACGACGGCGAGCGCGGTTCTTCGAGCTCGTGTTCTCTCCCCTTTCCATCCATTCCTTCCTTACCATCGCATCGCGTTGCCTGTCAAACTCGAAGCGTTTCCTTCGCGTCCTTTTGACAATCCTTCGCGTACGTGCGAAAGAATTCGCGGGAACGTGATCTCACGTTTGATAGTGGAAAAGTAACGAAAAACAAAAAAAAAAAATACGCGCAACATCCTCCGCGCTCGAGGAGACTCGAGGATCCGCTCGCAGTGTACCGTTTCCTCTCAACGCCACTATTTTATGTTTTTGTACCAAAGTTGTAGCATCTAACTTTGCGTTGAATAAATAAACCTTAAAATGATCGTCGATTCGTGTTTCTTCAATCCTTTATCAATTATTTATAACAAAACTGAAAATGTTTGCTATAAAGATAGAGAGAGAGTTTCGATAACTATTATTATCTTAAATATCTTTGAATTTATTTGTGCAGATGAGGACGCTTCAGAGATTTGAAAGTCAATTTTGTTTTTTATTACGAGAGAAATTATTTTTTTAAATATAATTCCTCTAGTTATTCTGTATATAAGAACAGACATCTACTACAAACACATCTATTAGTCTATAAATCGTAAGTTTGTTGCATCAACCAATCCGATGCATCAATTTCAAAAATGACACTTCGAAATTGGCTACTTGTAGAGACTACCATTCTAAATATTTTTAAACATGTTTTTTTTCTGTTTTTCACATGTCGAATTTATTACAGTTACGTTAAAACAAACAATTCATTCTTTCAAGTTATTTTTTAAAATAAATCACAGTTTTTTATTATTTATACGCTTCAATAAAGATATGATTATAAATATTTTGTTCATTATTACTGTCACAGCTAATGCTAAATATTCATAAAATCAATTTGTATTCCAAATGGTTCCTATATTCCAGAACAGGACGGGAAATAATAATGAAATATTTAGATATTGTATGAACGTTTCTTGTATACATCATTAAAATCACTCATTTGCGAGCAGTGCGCGTTTCCGCTGACAGATGGATGTGGCAGAGTTGCATTAACTCGTGAATAAGAATCATAATGGGAAAGAATATAAAGTGTAACATTTCGCCTGTGAAGTGAGCCTCTAAAATTGGGTTCCAAGGTGAAAATAAATGAAATGTGTTTTTGACAGTACAATTTTGTTTAAAAATGAATTCTGTGGGACCTGGAATTTTTGGGAAAGTTATAATCTTGTGGAATATGTATGGAATATTCTCCGAATGTGTAACGATATATGTGAATATACATGAAATATTTAACGATTATTTGAATTTATTGTTCTGACATTCTGTAAATATTTTGAAATATACCGGAATAATCTTGAAATATTATTTTAGAATTTTAGAAACATTTTATAAAATATTTCAGGAATATTTAGCGTTTCAACTGAGATACGTAATGCCTTGATCGAATTTGTAATTATTAATTAACTTTTAATATTACGTAGAGTAGAGAGAGAGAGAGGGGCTAGTTGAGTCAAGGAACAAATTAAGAAATAGAAATGTCTAAGTAAAATACGGACAAGTCTATATGTTGCGTAAAATAGCACAAAGATGGAAAGTATTGCACTGAATATATTAATTTGTCAACGGCTGAAGACAAGCGCTTTTTCGCTTTCGTACACCAAAATTAAAATTATTAGGTAAATATTTTTTTGGTTCTACATGATAATTGAAGTGATTGATAAAAACTAAATGTATTTTTTTATAAGTTATTAGTACATTTTTTGATATTCAAATTACTATTTTATTTAGTTTTTTAATTATAAAAAAAATATATATTTCAGATACCGGTATGGGATTTGCTAGGCCAAAGATCCCATAACTAACTTATAAACTCAGGTACTTAAATAATCTGTCTTTATTGATATTGTTTATTTTATATTAATAATTAAAGACAGAGCTATATATATTTAACTTTTATTTTTAAAAAGTCAAGTTTTATTTTTTTAAATTTTGTTAATTAAAAAATTATTATAAATTATCATACATAAGATACAATAAAGATTTTATTAATATGTTCTTTTATTTTCAAAATAATATATAATTTTATTAATTATCTTCATGGCTCAATTTATTCTTCAAGATTGCTCAATATGTCCCCCATGCGATCCATTAAGTTACTTTGTCTCTTCAATCAACAAAAATTTTTTCTCATTTACGAAATATATTAAAGACTTATAAATACTTCATTATTGTGTCATGCAAATTTTAAAACAATTCTCATTGTTCAATCATAATTGTATAAAGATTTATAGTAATTTGAATAAGAAATGTCACAACTAGCCCCGCTTTACCTTATTTCAGCTTTAACATTGTGTTTCAACAAGAGCAACAAATATAATTAACGTGCAGTTTGCTAAAATTTACATAAAAATATTATAAGACGAATTTTTTTTTAATTTATCGATAGATCAATCTCACTATGTACAAATGCAACTTTACTCCGTAAAATGATATACGTTTTTTAATTCATTAATTAATAAATTAAAGAACTTGTTTTTATTGTAAGGTATCAAAAGTATCATTGGCTGTTTTGACTAGACAGCCTTTCTCGCTCATTTATACTTGAATATATCTCACAGTCAATTTTCATTTAATATTATTTATTATTATTTATTTCTTTGATTCCTTTTATTTTCAGTAGCAATTTTCAAACCGCTACCTTGTCGACGGTGCATTTTACCGGCCTGACGTTGGCGACATTATCCCGACGTTCGACATCGGTCCGGTCGGTCGGTCGGCAGTGACGATTGTTTACACGATGGCGTCCGGCGGTGGTACGTGTTCTTATTTTCTATTTCCGCGTAACCATGGGCCGGTCCGGCCATCGCTCGGCCAGGCTCGATGTTCGAAATCACGCTCTAATAACGGTCATTCACTGTTTACTTTTTTTTTAACGACAGAAAACGCGACCGAGGAACGGACGGAGACGTCAACGCCGGTTCAACCCGTTGCCAATGCCGTATCCGAGACAACCCACGTAAGTGAGCACATAACCTAGAAACGTCGCAACTAGTGGCACGCACGAACATACGGCGATATTTCGTTGGAGTTACTGCCGAGTGTGTCTACCACGGCAATAATCGCGATACATTTAAGAATCCACACGTTCACGGCGCAAAGGTTAGGTTAGGGACTCTGACAGTTTAAGACGGTCAGAGCAGCGTCATTATCGTGTTTATCATCTGACGTTTGCCAGCTGATAACAATTGTCGTGCTGGAACACTAATATTTTTGCAAATTCGAAGCATGCGTTTCGAAACTAAGAATTACACGTATAACAACAGTTTGTAAAATGTACACAGATATTACAATTCTTTAATTATTAAGTGCTTTTGGAAAAATTGTTTAGATGTATAAACTTTGTATTCTTTTTCATTGCAGAAAGTGATAGGGATGGATAAGGATGGCGAATTGTCTGGTGTACCAGCAAAGAAACCTCGTGTCGAAGTGCAATCTCTTCCAACCAGACAGTATTTAGATCAGACCGTAGTACCGATATTGCTGCAAGCATTGTCATGTCTGGCCAAAGAGAGACCTGCCGATCCTATAAGTTTTCTCGCCGGTTATTTATTGAGAAACAAGAGTCAATACGACAGCGGCGGTTCGCCGCCGACTAGTCAATGAATGCTTCCTCATCTGTGCGTGCCCGTTTTATGGAAATTTGATGAACATTTCTTCGTAAGAAATCTCTTTTGATTTTTTAAATACATATTTATGATAAACATATATACTTTTGTATTTTCGTATATGAAATAAAAATGTGTTAGCTTTTTACTGTAGGGATGACAATGATGCATAGATGTACGAAATATCTGGATGGAGCATAGTGCTGTGGGGTTGAAGTTCAAGGGGAAAGAATAGTAATGTAAAATCATCAAGATGACAACGACTGAGAGTGGAAAGAGCGGGGCGCACTATATTACACTACTTGACTTATCTACAATGCCGTTGTGTTTAATGTTGTTCAGTTAAGCGTGTCTTGTTTAATCACATTGCGATTGATCACAGCCACTTATAGCGATCAATACTTGAAGTATTTCCACTGTGTTATATTGAACTCTAACCAGAAAGTTTTATGTTAAATTATTTAATTAGCGATGGACACTCTGTGTCTCAGTTAGGCTGTAGATCAATCAGTTATGAACAATGTATTATGCTTCCTATGAATGCTTCGCCAAAACTGAATCACTACGATTTTAGATGAATTTGCGACTGCATTGTAGACTACGTTTTACACAAACACGGCGCTACGTGTCTCTGACAGAACAATCAAGATCGATTTTTTCCACAATCTCTCAAACTTCATTCTCCTGGCCTAAAAGGGTATTTTACGCTCCGTCTAGGTATTTCGTACGTCCATGTTTTAGCGAGATAAAATGGTGTTGTTCTGAGAAATGTAATGTTAATTAGTCTTGAATTAAAAACAATTTTTAACATTGAAATTATTTTAAAAAATATCGTTTTCTCTGTATGGAAAAGTAATGTTAAAAATATCTTAATTATTATGATATCATTTTCAAATTGAAATATTTGTTACAAAAAAAATCGGTCTAATTTTTCTATATGCAAGCGTTTAAATAAAGAAAAATGAAGAAACCAAACATATCATTTTTTCTGAAAGGATATCGCAAAAATAATGCATAAAGAAACATATTGATTTCTTTGGTTCACTTCTTTACAAATCCGTAATGCAAGAGTACGAGATAAAGGGCAGAGAGAAGGACCACTACCATCGGTCCAATAAATCGTAATGAACCCTCTGCACTCGCGTTGATTTTAATTGGAACGGCGATTTAATTGGAGGCAATTAAATGTAATCGCGCAATGAATCGGGGTTAAATTTATCTCGCGCTCCAATAAAATCGATAATTTACATCAGAGACGTGCAACGCTCGCGAGCTATACACAATTACGAAGAGAAAGCGAAAAGGAAAAGAGACTGCCTCGAGGGCGTTACGTTTTATTATTCTTCACGTCTTATTTCGTTTTCTCGTTGCGATTTTCGTCCCGACGAAAACTCGTCTGGTTGGTCTCATCGTCTGGGTAATTGGACTCCCTTCGGGGTCGTCGACGAGGAACAAGGAAAAGAAAATACACGGGTAGCGACGTCCGATTGCGCCACTTGGGCTTTAAATGACGACGCGAGAAGATATCGGGGTAATTTCGTGGCCGACAATTCGCACGGCGACATCATCGGACCTGGTCCAATTAACGGCAAAGGATCCTCTTGCCTGAGTTCTCCTCGTATATCCTCTCGTAGAACTCTCGATCCTTACCCATACTACACCCGTACATTGATCGTCAACTCTTAGTCCTTTGTTTCGTACCCATTTAGTTGGAAGACTCAATGCGTTTCTGCGGTGATAAGATAAACATACTGAGGAGTATTTTTACTAAACCTAACTTTACTAAAGTACCTTACGAGGTACTTTACCAAGTAATCCACTCGTCTTTGAATTGTTAAAAGGTTCATTCGTGGATTTCGTGGAAAGCTCTAATTGTAAGAATGTCGTAAAACAAGGAAAAAAAAAGAGTAAAGTAACTTTTTATTCGCGGCGAGAACTTAAAGCTTTTCTTTCACATTTATTATCTTACTTATGTAATACGATTTTAGAAAAAAAATCGACGTTAGTTTTCAACAGTTTTGATTTATATGTAATTCTGTACATGCAATGACGATATGAGTTGGAGTGTTTTTTTTTTTTGCGATAAAACGCCGTAGGAATCGGTTTAAATTTCATCGGATAAGTGAAGGACTAGTACATTTTAGTGTTTCATGTGATTGCACAATGTGCGAGTGCATTGACGGGCGACGCAGTTTGTAATATCGGTTCTGTTTCTGTATATTCAGAGTGAAATTTCACCGTTCGCCGTTCGTTCCCACAACGGATTGCGAATAAACGCGCAAAAGCGGAAAGTCCACGCTCGCGGCACAATGCGGAAGTTCGACGGGACTGTCAATGACGCAGTGACATCCACCTTCACCTTTTTTCACTTCCTCACGCGCGTGAAGCTCACAATAGTTTCCACATTGATATCATCTCCTCTCCATATTCCTGTTCGCCGTGCTTTTCCAGCTTCAGAACTATGTAAGTAGTTTTATATGCAATGTTAGAATACATATGAAAGCATGGAATATCTCAAAAGCGGTTTTTCTCGGGTAGCTGATGTGATGAATATGGATCTGAATGAAATTTTATTAAAAAAAAAAAACAAATAGGATAATTTTAAACAGAACAATAATAGTTCAATTTAGATACGTAATAAGAATCTGACTATTTTATTATATTTAAAAAAATTCTAAGGTATTCAATGTTTTTACTTATTTACAATTTATGCTATTTTAAAAAGTGCTTTTTGTAAACCGTCTTCTTGATTGACAACGTTATATCCAGGATAAAAAAAAGCTTGTTTAAACAGAGATAGTAAATTTGATAGATAGCAGCCGGTGTAATTTTCGGGAGTTCGGTGTTACGGGCACACAGATACGTAATGAAACGCGACGACTGACGCATGGTTACATTTTTACGTATCTACCGTTGTACAGCATCGAATTCCACGTCTGCATCGAGAATTGAACTCGCCGAAATTGTACCGATTTCAATACTCGCTTTCTATATACATCGAGATTCCGGACAGATACCTTCCCTCCTGTTCTATTCTATATCTATGCTATTCATGCTGGTCGTACTCTCGATATGCGTGCAGTAATCACGTCCGATGCCAGATCAGCAGATTTCGAAATTGTGCTAACAGTGACCATGACCACATCATGTGTCGAACGTGCGATTCGAAAGATTGGCGGGTCGAGATTATATAT